CAGACGTTGGTGGAATGGACCATGGTTGCGACTTGGTTCCCACCGTTGAGGTCAGACGAAGGGCAATGGGAAACCAAAGCCCCGAGACCTCTCACCCAGATGTTGGCAGAGAGACCCTTGAGGTTCTCAGTGAAGCCCCGGCTACAGTGACCTTGAGCACGGAGAATCTCAGAGAGCAGATGCTCGAGAGGTTCGAGAGGTACTTGAAAGTAGCAAAGACGTTCCGCGATAGAGTGCCTATAAGGAGACCTGGGTGTGAAATTCCCAAGGTTCTTCTTGAGATTGGTAATGACATTTTACTTAGTAGAATGCCAGAGCAAGTCTCGCAGGGGCAACGCTATCTTTCCAGGCTGCGTGATGTGGTGTATGCGGTAGCGCGTGCAATTGCATCCACTACTGATGGTCTGGGGCAAGATCGTAACGATGGCGTTGCTCTAAAGCAAACTCTATCCGAAGAAGTGGAGTTTCGTGGAACTCTTCTGAGTTTCATATCCACAATCGAGAACGAAGTGAATAGAAGAAAGGTACGTAAGCGGGGAGAGCGAAAGCGACCTAGTCGCAAGTACCTCGAACTTGCCGAAGTACAGGGCCTGCGTAGCGGAGTAGAACTGTATCGGTACTTAAGGAAACTTAAGGACCAACTTAATACTACGCAAAATAAGATCAAAAGTCTCGAAGCAACGAAACGTCGGTTGAGTGTCAGGCGTAGAGGAGCTTCATATGTGGCCAGAGAGCGCCTAGATCGAGATACCACAAAGGTTCCAGTTACGAGCGTACGCGAGTTCTGGAAACCCATTGTGGGGACAGGTAAGCCTTTCTCAGTGAGCGGTGAGCTCCAGAGTTGGGCCGACGATCTAGGGTCCTCGGAGACTCCGGAAAGGGCTCAGGAACTGACTGAGGTGGAATGGAGCGAAATCTTTCGCAAAGTGAAGCCTTGGAAGGCGACTGGACCCGATGGTATCCAGGGATTTTGGTGGAAACATCTTCCTGCCGCTAGATCCGGTTTAATTCGCTGGTGCCGACAGGC